AAATTTCATTTATTCTTAAGAATTACTGGAAGGTGAAAAAAATCATCAACACTATGGCAGACAGAACCAGTCTATCATTTATATATCAGGACAATGATAACTGTATGTCTTACTGGCCATTACTCTCTCCTCAGAACAAGACAAAAGGTTACCGTCCATCTCACAAGTTTTATGAGTATGATTTCAACCAATAAAGCAACTTCCTAAAAAACCTGTCACACTAACACTTCTCATATGAGTACATGAAATACCATGTTGTACTCACTCCTTTTCTTGACACCTGACCAGCCTGCGGGAACCAAAACTTTGTCATTTCTTTGTCACTCCGATTTTATACCATACTCATCCTTTACCTACAACAGTTTTACTTACCTCTCTGTCAGTGGGCACTGGCTATTATAAGGTATTTTACCAAATAAAGGACTTCCAAGTGCCATCTATAAGCAAAAATCCTGCATTTCTTATGATCCCAGTTTACATTCACCAGCTACTCTGCAGACACTTGCTCTCCAAGAATATTTTTCCAATATCCCTTATGCAAAAAATATGAGCTTTCATCCTTCTAGATCAAATAGCCCATTCCTTTTCAGAGATCTTGTCCTCCCTCATACATGCTTTATTGACTAAAAATAAATTAATGAAATGACAGAGCTGTGTAATCTGATGTGTTTTCATTTAAAAAAAAAAGAATTAAAACATTTCCAATCTTAAGTGTTTCTGCTGAACAATAGCTTTAACTCAACTGATTGCAAATATTTTTACAGTGAAATTAAGTAGTTGGAAGTATTTAATGAAAACCAGAATTACTGTCCATTTTTGCATTCTCCTATGTCGATATAAGACCAATTCTGAAGTCTTAAAAAAGAATGTTTACACTGTAGCAATTGTAGCATTTTTAGCAATTCTTGACTATATTTTGTGGATTATGCTGCCATTAATAAAGTTGACATCATAGAAACACTATTAACATATATTTCCAAACTTGCTGATTTTCTAGACTAGAAAACATCAGGTATTACAAATAGGACAGCCATTATCTGTGCTATTTCACAGAAAATCATAGCGCTGGTTTTTAATAGGCACATATTTGAAATTCATATTCAGTTTGAATTTGACTCTTTAATAATCAGATTTTGTTAGCTTCATGGATGTTCTTGAATGCAGGGAAGCTTGTGCTTAATCGATTTCCAAGAGTAGTGTTCAAGCTGAAAAACCAGTGTCATACTCAGTGTTTACCACCACTGTTATTAGCACACTTTATATTTCCTAATCCCTAAGATGCTTTGCCTCTGACACTACACTCTGGGCTTGAGTCAGCCACCAACACTCAAAAAAACACTGCGAGGCCCTAGGGTTTCATGACTGTGGTTCAGACATCTGTATTTAAATATCTACAATGCTAGTTGGCATATAAATTTTCATTGCTGTTAATAGAGACTTCACTGACTGTATTGGTAAGATCCAGGAATTAATGTGTAAGATAGAAACTCAGGTCATGTAGATACCCTAAATTTCATTTTACAAACAGCCTTTAGAATGACAAGTTTTCTTCTTCCCTGGTCCTACTGAAAAACCTACCGAGTGCTGGATCTGATTTAGAATTAATCTGAGTACTGGTGACCCTTTTTTTTTTCTGTACTTCACAGTATATTTCCTGAGCACCCTATCTATTAATTCTTCCCTAACCACTGCAGGCATCGCAACCTTATTCTGAGGTTGTATCTGCCTTTGCTAAGTAGTACAGGAAGATCAGAGCCACATTCATTATTTTTCTATGAGTCTCATGCTCAAAATTATCAAAGCATTTCTGTCTCATGTTCTGATCTTCCCATGCCAACAAAGTGCTTGATTCATCTTCAATTTCTAGCATCCTGGTTTTTAGTATCCTGATCTTGCTCAGTGTACTGTAGCTAAATTATGCTGCATTTAATCAGTCAATTTGTTGCTGTATCTTTATTATTCTTTTCACTAAAATGTTGCTAAAAATCTTTCTTGCCACTGATGTTAAAACAAATTTCATATTGATTCCAAGGCATTAAATCTCATTTCTTTTTTTCTCAGTGTTATTAAATATATAATTTTTTTTCTACAGAGATACAATTAATATGTCAGTTCTTTCATATTTCTGGAATGGACAACATCCATCTCATTACTATGATTACAATAATTTTTCCTCGTACTTAAAGCGGCAATCTCAAAACTGTCGTCTTTACCCCTCATCCATCCCTTCTCTATCTCTTCTTGTATCATCATCCTTCATTGTTAATAAATGAATAATTTAGTTTTCTTTTCCATGAATTGTTCAATTATCCCTAAGTCTAGAAGCTAAAAAACTTTCTGCTGTGTAATTTCCGTATTAAAATACATAGACATACTAGGCAAGTGGTCTCTCTAAGACTGAGGGGTATTGGCAGGGAGGGAGGAGAAGCTTGTATTCCTGCCGTGTGCACCACACGTTGTGTGAATAAAGCAAGCTGTTCGGTTTCCAGCATAACTAGTGTCTGGCATTCTTCCCAAACACAAGAAAAAGAAAGAAGAAATGAATGGTAGGCATTTAAGGGACATATTAATTTCTAAGTCAAATGATTCACCAGTAAATGTGTTTGCAATTCCTTTGACTGAGTGATTACTCTTTTTTTCTCATGTATAGCAAGAGCTTTTAGCTAAATAGAAATGTATCTGATAATGTGCATAAGATTCGTTATATAATCTGCCATCTAACTTTCTTTTCCTCCAAGTTCAAATTGAAAACTGTTTTATATCAGGACTCACTCTGTGTATAAACTTTTATAATTTGTAAACACTGTAGGAGTGGCCTTTCATTTGTCTAATGCTGACAGCACATTGAGGAAAGCTATCACTGTTATGCAGACTATTGTTATACAGATAATACTAAAACATTGATCATAGAGAAACCTGAGAGGGAAGATACATAAGTCCACTTACACTTAAAGAAGGGGAAGGAAGGTTACACTCTTGGTACCTAAGCCAGATTGTTTCTTCAAAGATGTAACATATATTAACAAAATTTGAGACCTGCTCGTTAAAAAAAGAAAAAAAAAAGAAAGAAAGAAAGAAAGAAAGAAAGAAAGAAAGAAAGAAAGAAAGAAAGAAAGAAAGAAAATCTCTGATATAAAAGCTTTTGTCTGATATATTTGTCTTCTTATTATTTGTTAGACAAATAACTTGAGTCAAATACCAATAAGTACTTGTTTAGAGCAAAATAGAAGACACATTACCAGATGGCAGCAGGGAACTAGGAAGCTGACACATCCTTCCTCTGCCCCATTCGCTTTCGAAGCTGTTATTTTCTTCTGTTTCACTGCTGAGAGCAGTGACAGCTTTTACATCTGAAGTGAACAGAAGTACATTTTTCACTAAAATGAAATCCTGTTTCTCCACCACAATTTCTATAAACCAGATGATAAAACATCACTTTTCAGAAACAGGATCTGACGGTGTTGGGTATTTTTTTTTCAGAAAAAAATAGTTATATAGCCTTACATTAGGGATTTGATTGGTACTTCTTATTGTGTTCAAAGCATTTAGTAAATCACTCCTGGTGTATATGAAAGATAAGTCAGCTTTGTATTTTAACATTTTAGACCTCAAAAGGGAATTCTTCCCCTTTTTTATCTGCTGAGGAGGCCAACTCAGATCTGTTAATCAGGATGATAAAAGTTCCTTATTTCATGCTTAAACACTTCTGTCCCAAGAGGAAACCATGATATTGGTCCTTACCTGCTTTTGGAGGATAGTTTCAGTATGAGATTCCCAGCAGAAGGAATGCTACTCACTACATTAACCAATAGAAAGAGTGACTAGAACGATATGTCCTTAAATCGAACCATCCCTGGAGCAGAGTCACCCACCTACTTAGATACTTTCTCTAAGGAAGAGAGATCTCACCTGACTTTCAAAATACTTAAGAAGAAAGCATCTCCTTCAGCTCTCCCTTTGCTTCTGTATGATACCCTTAAGCACTTTGCAAGTAACATCTTAACATCTTGCTGGGGGCTTCAAATGCCTATTATCTGCCATGTCCTTCAAGAGGCCTCAAAGCCAACACCCAGCCTGGTACTGGGGGTCAACATCTGCAGACAGGACTTGGCCTAGATGCTGCTTAGGAGATGCCATATCCCAAGTAAGCTTAAAGTTCCTTTCTCTGCAGGAGAGGAGGAGTAGGTATTTACTTACCTTCTTGGGCTGCAGCTTTACTATAAAATACATTTTGGAACTTTACTGTTTTAAAATAGCAGAAGTGAGTCAGTTTAATATCTATAAATTTTCATGGACTCTGTGACTGAGACAGCATAAACAAAGCCAAATGTCTACTTCTTGAGCATAAATGGCTGGACAGCATTTTTCATGTGTATGGTTTTATGGGATTGCTCATCTAGAGACAGAGTGGATCTGGAATCATACAGGACTCCAGAAAATATATATAAACTGAACTACAAAAAAAAAAAAAAAAAAAAATTAAAGCCCTATACTACACTGTGTATGATGATGCCATAAATCATATTTAGACCAGATACAATTAATTTTAGGCCTTTCTTCTAGACCTCTTTTACATTTTACTTCTCTTTCCTCTCACATTTGATTTTTAAGGTCATTTTTTGTTTTAAGAGGAATAAGTTATGCTTGATATTGAAATGTGATTTCACAATAATATAGTAGTGAAACTTTAAAGACAAATTATGAAGAATCACCTTTTCTACTTTCACAAAAGATTCATTAAAATTCACTGCTGATAAGTGTCAGAGAATACTAATCCACTGATCCCTCCCTGAGACTTTTTGAATTAAGGAACGAGCAGAAGTAAAATGGGTTCATTACAGCTTTTTGAAACAGGAAAGAATTCAATTATCATCTTCATCTTCCTAGTTACAGAGGCAGTAGTCCTTAATCCTATTTATTAGCTTTAAAAGATAACAGCATGGAATTTAGCTGCTAAAAGTGGGGATATATTTATATATTTATGTATCTGTCATTTTTAGGGTAACTTTTCTTCCTTATGGGAGCCTGAGAATCCTGAATGCTTCCAAATCTGATGAAGGACGATATGTATGCCAAGGTGAAAATGTATTTGGGTCTGCAGAAATTGTTGCATCAGTATCTGTAAAAGGTATGCAAAATATTTTGATGATAATGGTGATTACTGATTTCTAATGTTTCATTATTGTTTAGAAACACCAGGAGAACACAACGATGTTGCATAGACAGTTTAGTCAAATACAAATTTAGAAAGAAACCAATAATATTGTTGCTAGAAATTGTAAGAAGAAATAAACAAATTAGTCCCTTAGAAGGGTACTTAAATTTAAACCACTGAGTTATTTACAATTAAAATCTAAGCCATGTTTTTGCCACTTTCCAAGTGAATATAATCTTTGGTTTTGGTTTTAGATGTTTCAGTATTTTGTTTTCATTTCTTAAGCATTTTGCTGTATAAAGTACGCCTGCAATTTTCCTTTTTTGTATTTTTTTCTTACTTGTTTTTTCGTAGGGACAATGCTGAAATCCCTGTTTGTAGGGACAATGCTGAAAATTTCCAGGTCCTAGAGACTTAAAAAAAAATCAAGAGCTTTTTTGGAAACTAATAAAATTAATTAATCCTTTCCAGAATTTCTGCACATTATTGTTTAAAATGCTATTCTACTACTTACACAAAATGAACTTTACCCCCTGCTCACAACCACCATTTCTCAATGTACATTATTACCTGAGTTCAGCACTCAGCAATATATATTTGAAACCAACTGTAAATACTTGGTCATCATAAATTAAGCATAGCTCAATTGCATGTAATATAGATGTTGCAGTATGACAATACCTCCTTTTAACTGTTGCTAACTCTTGTGCATTTTCAAGAACCTACAAGAATAGAGCTGACTCCCAAGAAGACAGAGCTAACAGTTGGGGAAAGCATTGTCCTCAGCTGCAAAGCCATTCATGACAACACTCTCGATGTCACATTCTATTGGACACTCAATGGGCAGCCTATTGACTTTGAAAAACAAGGTGGACACTTTGAAAGCATCAAGGCAGTAAGTGACTGTGCATTTGTCATCTATGTGCTGCAAAGTTATATGAATGTGCATGCTTTTACACATCTATTCCATTTACAAAGTTCTGACCTAGATGAAAGACTAATTGCATTAACGTTAAAATGAAATGGTAGTTAAAGGAGGTACAAATGGCAGGAAACTGGCATTAATTCAAGTGTTTTTAATCAAACATACAATAAAGGTAAAGTTCTACATCTGATTAATACCAGTGGTGCATTTGGGGATCATTGTGAGGGAACAGAAAATGATTTGAGACAAATCCTCTTCTATTGCTGGTAATATATTTTCTAGGAGGATGCTGCTAGAACCCTCATTCTTCACAGATACCATGGCTGTTAGAATGTTCTTACTTCCAAATGCTTATACTTGTCCAGCATATATATTAATTGTTTGAATAACAAGCAATACACTTTATTTTTACAAAGTCTTGCATAAGGTAGATTGCAGCTGTGTAGCTCTTATTAAATTTAACAAAAATCACATGGCCCAAATATGCTTATCAATTTCAAATAATAGTCCTTGGTTCATAAATAGTCCTTGGTTCAATTTGCTGTGTTCAAATGTTATACTGATCTAATTAAAATTTGTCCCATAGAAAGAGGTTTTAACTTTTCTGAGTAGAAAAAAAATCTGTTTATGTGAATGAGTTTGGAAATAGAATCTACAGTGATTTAACTAAATCTTCCCATTAATGAAAAATAAATCAAACAACCATGCTATGTTAACAGAGGAAAAATGAAGCTCAAAGTTGAAAAAAATTTAAAAGTTAGAATTTCTAATTTGAGTCCAATGTAGCTAATTTCGCAGTTAATGTGTGAGGAATGTGAAATTTTTGTATTGCAAAAATTCCATTTTCTATATAAGATATATCCACCACTCTTCTACTACGTATTCTTCCACTCCAGAGATGGCTTAATTCCACTCTGGCTTTCCAGAAGCTGCACTGAAAAGTTAGCTACGAGAGTTCATTTCTGAAAGTTAAAAGCAAAAGTGATTACTCTGTTTTTGAGTTCACTGCCCATAAATTACTGTATAAATGGAGCTGTATGAGGTTTGAAAGGATTATATATTACATTTAGAGTTCAAACTCTTTTAAAATCTGAAGTTTGAAATTACAGTGGAAGCAGGAAGGATGCGAGTGAAGCATCTTCTATGCTGAATTTTTAATCACTGAGAAAAAAACTCAGGCTAGGAAATTGCCCAAGCCATTCAAACTTTAATGAAGTAAAGCTAATTTAATATAATCTTATTGTTTTTATGAAAATAGGATTTTTTAGACTTTTCAATAACAATTCAGCCATGATGTCACTTCTACCATAAGAAACCCTCAGATTCACAGAGGGTGTATATGTGGACATACTGGTACTATTTTCAGAAAAAATATCTGTGTAAAACTCATTGAACTAACCCCAGTGAAACTGAGCATAGGATTTCTCATCTCCTGTATACAATACCACAAACAAATCACAAAGGAATCACAGGGATTTATGTGTATTCTAAAGATTTATTTGTTGACTCTTTTCATTGGTCTGATGTGACTAAACTATTACCATATTCTAGTAGATTTAACTAGCTATTCCAGCAAGAGTTTGTGACAATAATGTTTGTTAGAATAGGAAATTCTGTACAACTCAAAAGAAATAACTAATTGAACTGTCAGACATTGCCTTTATAATACTGCTCACACAAGTGATTGTCAGCCCATGCTTCATTTGCTTCCATTCCTAACTTATTTAAATGTCAAGACATTTCTGTTTTTCACTCTGAGAAGAGAACAGAAAGGTAGGCTTGGATGTACTAAAAATACCTAATGACTGGCATGAGGGCAAGTGGAAGGAGACAGAAAACCTCCTTTCCAGAACAGAAATATCAAAAACTTTACCCTAGTAGATTAATCCTCAATGAAATTTTCTGAATGCTATTAGAAACATAATTGGACACATCCCTCCTTCTGAAAGTAGTAATTAAAATATAAGCAGTTCTCCATTTTGTTGGACATAATTTGTTGGATGCTGTCAGTCATATCTCATCATCTTCTGTTAAATAAATAAGCATGTGATCTTAAGCAGAAGAAGGAAAATATATTTCGTTCCTTCGTGACCAAGCATGACTTGGTCTAGGGCAAAACGAAGACAAAATAAAGCTCTGAATCTCCTTTAATTTATCAACCCTCATAGGAGAGATCCAGAGTGGAATAAAGACACAGGTTTGCAGAATGCAAACAAGGAACTCTGAGAAAACCAAAAATCTGTTCAGATTTCATCTATCTCCATTATTTCTCATTTCTGAGAAGTTGTTTGAGTTGATGATGATCAACATGCTTTTTAATTCATTACATTTAAGAGAAATATTTTCTGTGTGGATGAAGTTTTGTAATTATGCATCCACTTTGTGCCACGCATCAGACAAAATGTTGTTTGTTTGTTTGTTTGTTTGTTTGTTTGTTTTTGAAATCCTGACAAGTTGAATATTACTTGAATTTTTTTTAATAACAAAACCATCGTCAAGCCCTCACCACTGGTTGCTCTGCTCATACTTTTGCTGTGACAGATCCAGGTGTTAAGTGTAACAGATATTCTGGTACTTAAAGCAATGGTATAAAAGCTGTCACCTAAGTGAGGTTTATAGGAGCTGTAGGCAAATTTCCACTTGTGAAAACTGTTCATTCCTGGTAATTACAATTAAAACAAAAAGGAAAAGCTCCTGTCAATAATACATATTGCTGCTCTTTGTAAATTACATCTTTAGCTTGTACCTAAAAAAAAACAGTATTATTGTTTCTCACACCAAGATCTAATCTTTAATCAAATTAAAAGTGCTTTCTCCATTGCTTACTGAACTATCAAACACTTAGTACTTAGGCAGTTTAGGTACCTCAAAAGAATAAGTGTTGTAGGAATGCTAAGATGAACAGAGAGGTGCATGAAGGGAATACTCAGGAAAGGAGACCTAGCATCACTGCAATGACAGATGCACTTGGGGAAAAGAAAACATCCAAGACCTTTTGTATGCAGAACTCCATAACACAGCAGAAGAATAGTTGTGCAATGGATATATACAGCATTTTTCATTAGAAAAATCTTACTTTGTCTACCAAAAGACCTAGTAACATTTTAGGGTCTGCATGGGTAATCTACATGATTAAGAGACAATGCTGCGTGGAAGCCTGGATTGCCAAAATTTATTTCTAGAAATAGCAGTGAGCATTTGAGCCTAAAAGAAATACAGCTTCTGCTTGTTGACAATTAAGATAACTTTGTTTTTCTTTCCTACTCCTTTGTGTCTAATCCAAAAGTACTATTCAAATTTTATTCAGAATTTTCTCTTTGAAATTCTCTATTGACAATGGTTATATTGTCCTGAAAGCAATTCTGGGCAGCTTTCCCTTTTCTAGATAAGGGCTACTTGTTTTGCATGTGTTGTTTAATCAGCATATCCCCTCCTCCAGTTCTGTGTTTGAAAGCTGATGGTGCTTTTAGGGCAGGCAAATAAAAGTGATTTTTGCCATTACCCACACATTGTTAAGTAGTAGCACTGTCTAGCAGAGTCCCACACCCTTGACCTACACAAGTACCTTTCAAACTCAGGAAAGTAATTTAGTCTCAGTATCCTTTTAGGTTCTTGGTCTTAACAGAAACTGCCAACAGGGGAAATAATACGCACAAATAGTCATGTTATATTTTACAGAGGTATTTTTTCACAAAGAACTGAATTAAAATCTGCCATTTCTTTTTAAAAAGATACACACTGAGCAGCACATTAACTACTGTCAATCACAGGTAAATTTAATTTAATAACGTATAAAACAAAGAAAACATAACTTGGCACCTTTTACTACATTTTCAAGTCTCTTCTTAGTTTTGCTATAGGACTTTAATCATATTTTAGAAGTTAAATGTTGTTTCAATTCAACCATTGTTAGCAGTTTATAAACGGGCAACATTAAGTTTTACATTACATGGAAAAAATTAAAATAGAAGGCTGTTAATAACAATATATCTTCTCTTTATTTAATGTAAAATTGAACAGGCTAATTAAACAGGGTTTTATTTCAAATCCTCAACCCTACTCCAAAGATATTTTGACAGTAGTACTTATCAAAAGTATTGTAAAACAAGCATGCTTTATATACAGAGAATTTCTGCTTATAATAATACTACTGTTATCAACCTTATTTCCAGCAGTTTGTTTCTTTGTTCATTGAAACACATTTTCTAGAGATGCAAAAAGAGTAGCATAACCATTAATGTCAATGCACGTCGCCAGATATTACCATTCCCATTTGTCACTACTTAGAAATAAATATTTAAAGTGACATAAAACAGTTTCTAGATAAAAATCATACCTTATATTTTAAAACATTTCCCACTGAAGATAGGAAATTTTCTATAGTATATGTCCTGTAAAATAGGGAATGTACAAAATCGAATATGAGTTCATTGCCATAAAAATTTGAATTATCTGCTTTATGACTGGTAATTACAAAGCAAAATCTAAACACACTGAAAACCCTGGTCTTGAGAAAAACTTCATCCTGTTAGACTGCCAGTATGAAAACAGTCCCACAGAACTGATTAAAATTATAGATATAGCAGTATGCTGTATTAGGAAAGGACACTGAAAATTTCATCAATGTAATTGACTATTTAAACTCCTGTGTCCAAATTGTTTGTCTTTATTATGCCCTTTCTTTTCTGTTTTTTTTTTTTTTCTATGACTATATAGAAGCTATTTCTGGAGATAAGCAACTTCTCATCTATTTAATTTTATTTTGACTGAGGAAGATAACTGAGCATTTTGGGGAATGCACAAGACCTTTATATCCCTGGACACCCACGACCATGAGGGCTGCCTCATAGTCATATAGCTCAGCCTTTCATGTCCAAGTGTAACAACCGTTAGTAGCTCAAAAATATGCTAACGCATAAAACTGCAATTACAGTCTGCAATAATTGCAAAAAGAAATGATTGTCATGAAA